TTTTTGGTTTTTGGATCCAGTCTTGGAAGGGTTAGAAATTAAGGCTACTGAATAGGAGAGAAAGAGGAGCTAAAATTAGTAAGATAACCTCCACCACCACCACCACCCAGTTTAGTAAGGCCTGGATCAGGGAGGTTTAAATTGGATATAAGTTTGGGAGTTTTGGTTTTCAAACTAGGCTGGGCTGGAGTTATTTGATTATTAAATTAAACTGGACTTTTAGTGCTGAAACAAAGAGACTCACTATTATCTGAGAGTGACTGGAAAAGTTACAAGACTTGCCTAAAATTTCATCCAGAGAAGACTTAAAGGGGCAGTGAGCGAAAGAAGCTGGTTTATGAATAAACTAGTTAAACAAGTACCAACACGCCAGGACTGAAAGCTTGTCCCTGAGCAGCAAGACAAGTCTTCAGAGACTCTGGAAACCTGCAGAGGGGAGGCCAGAAAGCCTGGAGCCAGGGAGGGTGGTGTGGCCCGGCAGTGCAGCCTTGGCCTGAGCCAGCAGAGTCTACAGCCAGCAGGCTGGGGCGGTGGGAAACGTTTCCTTTGAACAGTTGGAGGCAAACTGACTGCCTCTGTTGCTGTTAACTTGGCCATGGGGAGCAGAATGTGGAGGCTGCACTGAGACGAGGTGGATGAGGATTCCTGGGGTGATCTGTCAAGGAAAATAGGGAGATTAGGGGGCTGAAATATTGAGCAAGAAGCAATGGTCAGTGAGATTAACCTCTGGTTTCCTCTGAGAGAAAAAAGGGAGGTCACTGGGTGGTGCAAATGGTTAAGCAGTGGGCTACTAACTGAAAGACTGGCAGTTTGAATACACCCAGAGACACCTCAGAAGAAAGACTGGAGATCTGCTTCCAAAAGATCACAACCATGAAAAACCCTATGGAGCAGTTCTGCACTGACAGGAATGGAGTCGCCATGAGTTGGAATCAACTCGAGGGCATCTGGTTCGGTTTTTGGTCTTCCTCTTAGCTGACATGCTGGTAAATTAAGAGTTCATGTGGGCACCCTGACCTGAAGTGAGGGGCTTCTCCTGGGGACTGCAGGACATTGGCGGGATGCTGGCCAGAGGCACAGGTGAGATCAGCCTGCGTGTCCTTGAGGAGCTGAAGGATAGTTACAGAGTTAACAAAGTCCTGGGAAGGGGAAAGGATGCTCAGATACCTCTGGCACATCTAAACTAGAATCTATAGTACTGGAGGCAGACATGTGCAACCTCTGTGAGATTCAGATCCCTTGGGCTCTGCTCTGGAGGTCATCTGAGGACCCATCATATGGAAGACTTAAAACAAGATAGATGCTTTCCTGGTGCCCGGGTGCTGTCTGTGGAAAAGGGAGGCATCTCTGGGCACCAGCACCCTTCTTAGCTCGGATTGAAGATGGCATCCAGGTGGTGGATCCCTCTGTGGGCTTCTGAGAATGGCAGCATATGCTCCAGTCCTATCTGCTGCCCTGTAGATCCAATCCCTGCTGGGTTTCTGGGAAGGTTGGCCCATCCGAGCATTTCAGAGCCATGCCTTAGGCTCACTGAGCTTCAAGGCTGGCTGCTGTGTGCAGAGGTGACTCTAGGTATAACTGACATTCCTGGTGCCAGGCCTGGGCAGATGCTCAGTGGTCACACCACATTACTTCTTCCGAAGGGCCTTTGGGGAGGCTCTCGCTGGATGGAAGACCAAGCTGTGTGATGACAGCTTTGGATTGGAATATTAGAGGGAGATCAGACTAACCTCTTGTCTAATGCCTGGATCTTCTCCGTACCACATTCCCGCCACCCCCAACCACCTCCACCATCACAACCACCTCCACTACCACCACCACCACCACTACCACCACCACCACCAGCACCGT